TCCTGCTTATCTTTTTTCATCTGCAGCCCACTCAAAATTCGCAGTTTATAAGTTTCCTTAATTGTTTTCCCATCCTGAGAAAACACCAAGTCCTTTTGTTTAAACTGTTGTTCCCTTTTGCTATATTCAGAGTCAAGCTTGCAGAAAAAAAGAAATTAATTAGGTTGCAACTATGAACAGTTACAGACAACAGTAGAAATCATGTAGAAGTGCTGCTTGCTTATCCTTTTGTGACTGTTTGGTTGGAGCCTGTGATCTATGCTTCTGTCACCAGGAATGGGCTGCCCCATTGATACATTTCATTTCAAGAATGAGGTCAAGGAGCTTGAGGTTGGGTAGGACCAGGGCGCTGATGGAGTTAGCCTCATATAGCAGAGAGTTTCTGAGGGAGGAGAGGCTTCCTGCCCTACTGAGGATGCACAGCTTGGATTTGGGGAGAGAGGACAGTATCCTCAGTGGACAGGTCATGCTGAAGGCAATTGGAGAGTCAGGTGTGGAATTGACTCTTGGTTCAGCAAACTGAGCAGTTCCTAGCACAGCCATTCCGATCAGCCCCAGGAGTAAAAAGTCTCCTACTGGAAACGTTAGTAATTCATATATAGCCAGTGTAGATCCCTGTAACCTGATATTAGAAGGTGATTGCTGGAAATTTTCTTCATCTGTCCCTGTTAGTTGCACATTTGCCAGTGGTTGCTTCAGACTTTCTGGATCTGACTTTGGCTCATTCTTTTGTAGCAAGAAGGACTATGTTGAAAATTCAGATCTGGAGACATGGTAGGTTTGGACTTTGGATAGAGATCTTTGGGTCCATGGGTGTTGTCAAGTCTACGTTTACTTCTAGAAATGAAGCAGAGTGAATTGTTAGCAGGACCTCTATTTCTGACCCACCAAATAAGCAGAACAGCTCATTAGGACCGCAACACTTACAGTGGAACTGGCAAATAACAATTTGATGGGAACACAGTTTCCCGTAGTAAATGGAAATGTCAGTAACAAAATAGCAGTTAGAGACCTCCTTTTACTTTACTTTCAGGTGACCGGTATCCCTGATGAACAGATCTTGGTAGCTGTATTTCCTGGGCTGCCTACTTCTGCTGAACTCTTCATACTGCCCCATAAAAACACAACAGAGAGAAGGAAAAGCAGTGACGCAGATCTGGAGCAGGTAAGGAAAGAAGGATTCATGGAACATTCACTCCTACCATTTGCAGATAGGCCTCTTAACTTGTGCAGCATTAGATATGACTTAAAATAAGTGTGATAGAACTGGATGCATCTGGGACTGTGGCAGTATAGTTTATGGCATTAAAGAAAATTATTTTCAGAGGAAAAATGGGCTTTTCTAATACCTCACTGAGATATGTCACAGTCTACCAGCAGTGGTTCTTCGTAGATCAGTGGTATGTCCTTATTACAGTAGTTATGGCCAAAGGAACCTTGAATATGTACTCCCTCTACTCCCTGGAGGAATGCTAATAGAGGCCAAAGCAGCAAGATAATATACTGAGGTTTACTAAAAATAAATCAGGCTCTTCAGCTCGTATATCACTGGAACAAGACCTCTTTTTTCTGCAGCAGAGAATGGCGTGTGCAAACTATATTTGGAAGTTACAATATCCATCCATTTAGATAAATAGGTAATTACAGTGATGAATAGCAACAGTGATATGCAGGCAAGGGAAGAGCTAGGAACAACAGCACGAGTCTGCTGAAGCTTTCATGCTAGAATTACCAAGTGATTAAATCAGCTCTATAAAGGCAAAGGAGTGAAGTACTGCTGGAAAGGCTGCTTAGCTCTAGCTAATGTTCTTATATGCAGCATTTTTACTGTGTGCAAGCTATGTGTGAGCCCATCTCCAAGTAACTCTTGGAGGAGTAAATTCTTCTGTGATCAAACATTAAATAATTCAGAGGGCTGCTGAATTCTGTGGAAATTCTTGTCACCCACTGAGCAGAGTCATTCCCCTCTGAATAGTGTGTTTGTCCTAGGAGGCTAGCAAAGCTGACCTCTTAAATTTATGGTGGTGGGTGTGCAGAAGAGGTGCATTGTGGTTGGAAGGTTTGGAAGGCTATTTGGAGAAATTTTCCTGTTCAGTAGGATCTACTTATATTAGAATTCCCTCTGAACGGGCTGTTGTGTCAATATTTCGTATATCAGTATTACGCAGACATCTCAGATTAGGTTTCTGACTAGCTGACCATGAGGCCTGAAGCTCTAGTGCTCTAAATTATTTGACAGTCTACTCAGTTGTACTTTGGCACCTGTTGTTGACTTCTGCTTAAGGAGCTTTTCCCTGGAGAGTAGGCCATCAGAACTACTCAGTAGCTATGTCCTAACTGTCAAAACTACTCTAGGGAGATCAGGCATCAGCAAATGCAGGCTCCAGTGTGACATGCCAAGTATGTGCTCTGAGGCAACCAAATAACACATCATAGTTGGGTTGCTGAGCCATGAGTAAACTCCAGTCCAAGGTCCCTCTTCTAAATGAAGGAGGAACATGGCAAGTTTGCCATTAATCTTCAAAACTGGATTGTCTCATCCCCAACAGCCTATTTAAACAGGAGCCACATGACTAGGATTGTCCTGAATCAATGTGAGCAAAGAAGTGTTACCTAACTTGGTTGCATCATCCGTCAATGAAAGGCCAATATGTCAGTGATTTCCAAGTGCATTAGATCAAATTCACAGGACCATATGGAGGGTGAAAAGATCCTTAGTTCTTTTCCCTCCTCCTCTACCCACCCCCCAAAAGGAAAAAAAAAAATACTAGATTTCTTGGTTTGCTTCCCAGGAGAGGTATAATAATGTACTCTGTGAGTCTCAAAAATCCTGTAGGGAGACTTGCATGCAATAATACATACACAGTTCTGTCTGAAGTGCACGTACATATTTCTTTCCACTTCCTCAGTCTCTCACGTTCCTTCTCTTCCTGAAGCCAGTAAGAGATGTTAGTCACTGTTCGTAGGCTACATGTATTCCTAAATGTTCTCCAGAGCTTGCTGTCTTCTATATTGTAACTACCTGTATCTCTTATTATTTCCTCAGGTGGTAGAAATCCTTTTTAATGCTCTCAATCAGAACCTGGTCCAGTTTGAACTGAAGCCTGGTGTTGAAGTCATTGTGTATGTTACTCAGTTAACATTAGGTGAGTGTGGAGTCAAATGCAGAGCTGTGGTTCTCTTGAGGCGTCAGACATCTTCGGGAGAACCAGTCTACATCAGAGCACTCACAGTTTGGCATGTGCTACTGGGATACATAGGACTGATTGTATTGAGGCGCTGTCTGTGGTAAAAGCAAGAAGTGTTAAAACCAGGATCCAGCAGTGGCACCCTGGAGGAGAGGGAGTGGCAGCGAGCGGCTGTGTGGCATTTAGTTGCCAGCTGGCCTAAACCACGGCAGCATCTTCATGCACCAGTTTGTACAAGTATTAAAAGTACCTTTTAAGAGTTCCCTCTGGCTTAATTAACTAGTGCATTGATGTTTTTCAAGCGTGTTAGAAAATCAGGTGAATGGTGTTCTATTAAGTCCTCATTGGGCACCTGTGGAATTCAGTGTGGGTATTACTAACTTTCATGGATATTGGATCAAATCCTTATTGCAAAGGGCTTGTTAATGTTACAACTAGCCCAGAAGCTTTATAGGGGCAAAGTACTCATGAAAAGAAGATCTAGGCCTCTTACAGGGAATATGTGCCTGAATATTGACTTCTACAAATTAGAACTTATTTAAATCTCAATGCTACCTATCTCCACTTTCGCAGAGTAATGAATAGTTGCTTTAAGCTTCATCACCTCCTTTGCTTTAAACCACCTGAGCGTGAAGCTCTCAGCTACTGCTGAGAATTTCAGCCAGCCCAGTTTGAAGCTCTCAGCTGTTGCTGAGACAGTGATGACTACAGAGAAGACGATGGATTTATTTTTGCTCTTGCTTTTTATGACTGCCCTTGCAATTATCTGAAATGTGGGATCTTGTGCATATGACATTGCTGATAGCCTCTCCGAAAGATTGAGATTCATGTCCCAGGATAACACACTTCAGCTTCTATTTACATGAGACTGTCAGAGAGCTAAGAGCTGGGCTATGACCTATCCTACAGGTAATGCCTTTTTGCCTTCACTCTCTGACTTTTGTTTGAGGATGAGAATCGGATGTTAATAGCAGTAGGCTGGAATGAGTTAATTTGCAAAATTGGGAATGAGATCCAAATATCTACAGTCTCCAGGTCCAGAACCTGCCTTTGTTCTATAAGGCGAAGTATGGATTTAGCTTCCAGTGCTCAACTATTCTCACACCTCCCTAGTGGGGGTGCTGCATTTGTTTCATGGCCATTCCTGTAATATTTTGACTCAGGTGAAATGGCAGTCATTCTTTTCCACGAAAGATTCCATAGAATAGTAGAAGCAGAAGACTGGCAAGTTCAGGTTCTTAGGTGTGACAATTTGGCAATGGAACCGAAGAGGCGTAGACTTTTTTCCCATCTTCTGGGTAACAGAGAAAGAATAGAGAACAGTAAAAAACCAAAACCAAATGCTTATGCAGAGTGAGAAACACTCAGCAGCTACTTATAATCATTTGTGCATCGTTAGAGACTTCTCATCAGACTCTTGATTCTCAGCACAGTGCTCAGGCCATTAAGATGGTCTGCTCCAATGAGCTGTGGGAATAGCTGCATAAACAAGCTATAGTGATACACTTTATTTAGCCCACCCAAAATGTCAAGGATGAATGGATCAAATCTCCAAAATGTTATGATGTAGTGCGTGCTTGGGTTCAGGATTATTGCTTTGAACTCCTCCACATTATGAAAACTGACTCAATTAAAAACTCTGTAAGGTCCAATACAAGGATGAATCTTGAGGCTTCTCGCAGGACCAGATCCCTGTCACATGTGAGACAGACACATCTTCTTGGAAGATGAGAGTCATGCAGTTCATGGATGCTCTGAGGTAGCTTCTCCAAAGGGGAATAAATATGCATGAGGCCACACCTCACAAATTTCTTTTCCACTCCAGTCCCTGGAAAAGCCTAAAAAGAAGTAGCCCAGAGTGTTAACACAGGATTGATCAGCCATTCAGCTAAGCATGGATTGCTGTGCCTTTTCACTAGGAGATGTTGGACTGCGCTGTCTTTGAAAAAGAGCTTGGCTTTCAAAGGACAAGAGAGTCAATCCGTTTCCTACCAATTGGTCTTGCTAAAAACAGCATGCACCATGCAGTGGTGATAAAGCAGATGTGACAAAGACAGAGTTGAGCTCAAGTCTCTGGTAATTATGTGTTCCCTAACAATACCTTATAAATGTAATGCTCTGCCTTTCCTCCTGCAGCACCCCTTGTTGATTCCAGCACAGGTCATAGCAGTTCGGCAATGCTGATGTTGTTGTCTGTGGTATTTGTAGGCTTGGCTGTTTTTTTAATCTACAAATTCAAGAGGTAAGTTGAGAAACTTTGAGGGATGGGAGGAGGACACACTGGGTAGTTTATAGGCAATCTAGGCAGAGCAGTGCCTGTACTGCAGATGTTATGCTGGCCTAAGGCTTAGACCAGTATAGTTCCCTATTTCTCGTGCATAGAGAGAAGACCATCTACTGCCCTTTCACCACAAACTTGGTGCTCCGAAAGCTCACCAAGAGCTCAGAAATCAAGATGTGACCTGCTTCAGCAGAGTTGCTTGAACCACAGACCAGAAATGGAAACCCTGTGTGTGCACTGAGTACTGAGCTACAGAATGCAAACTTAGTAAAAAAATCACATGATAGATGTCTTCATATGTTCTGTATCCATCTGGCCAACTGCCTTAGTGCAAGAGTATCTCATTTGTATGTTGCAAAGTGAATACTTTAGTTTTGCAGAGGAACAGGTGTGATTATGTTAAAGGAGGGAGACTCAAAGCCAAAATGGTTTGTGGTAAGCATCAAAATGCCTTTTGGAATTTGTGCTGAGATTTTCTTTGCCGGATGTTAATATAAACCTTTTGCTTCCAGGCAGCAGGCAAGACCTCTGGTGGCCCATGGCACTTTGCTGCTGCAAGCTATGAAACAAAACATGGGATAAGAATGGCCTGTTTGCTCATGGGCTGCCTTATGAGAATGTATTTTAGGCAGATGGAGCTCCTTAGGAGGAACTTTGCATTCAATGCAGTACTTACTGTGTTAAATGGTCTATGTGTCCAGATTCTGCCCAGTGGCAAAATATTGTATGAGAAGCATAAGCTGAGTCTGACAAAAAAAACAAAAAAAAAAATCTGAACATGAATAGTTCCTCAAAATTGGGAAGTAGAGCTTTTCCTGTCCAGATTCCAGCTATAGGTTTCTCTCTCCAGCTTTTCTGCAGCCCAAGATAAGGCTCGTACTCTCTAATGATGTTAGTGGGATACCAACAATGTTCAAAACGGAATGATAAGACAGGCATGTATCCTGGTCTCCAGGTTTAAAGCTTCCCTCATTTCTAACCTCTTGCATTAACCATTGTCAAAACTAGTGGGTGGCACTGCTTCTAGTGCTTGATCATCTGCACATCGAGATCTGTTACTAAGCTTCCACTGGCTTCAGTGGCCCAGGACAATTTCCAGAGAACCCATGTATGTGAATCTGCACAGGTGTAAATTTCCAGGCCTGCAGCGTGCCTTGCTTGTTGCAATCTGAAACCCTCTCCCTGCTTCTGTGAGGTGGAATAGAGCTTCCCAGATGAATGGGGAATGGGACGTGTGCTGGGGAGGCAGCTGATGATTTCTCTCACTCTCAGATGTAGGACAAGGAGGGCAAAGAAGTCTCTCTGGGAGATATGTCAAGATGTAGGTTCCGCACTTTGTAAGATGTACTTTCCTTTGTGTCTTGGTGAGATGGTTTCTTAGGTTTAGCCTAATGTCTTTGGCTCTGTGATCAGGGATCAGTTACCAGGAAGAAGGACCTGTATATTCTGGCTGCCAGAGCGCAGTAAGGAGCCTGGTAATCCACTTTGCATTCTCTTTCCATAGTAATGCTTTGGCATTACTTTCCATAGTAATGCTTTGGCAGTCTCCAGGTCATGTTATGCTACTATAGCTCATAAAACTGACTCTTGTACTACTTAAGCATCCTGAGCCTTGGGCATAGCAGCCATCAGCCTTATGCACATCCAGGGCTGGGAAGACCTGCCTTGTTAAAATCTGTCTGAAAACCGAATGTATTACAAATCAGGAGTGAGAGGGAAAGTGGTTAAAGCATTGGTTTTGCTTAGCCCAAAGCTCATCAACTTGCTGTCCCCTCTTACCTGCTTGTCCCAAAGAGGACAAACCTAAGTCAAACTGGCAAAGTTTAGGATTAAGTCAGGTACCCAGAGTGTCCTCAGCTTGATTTTTCAGAACAGAAAGCAAATTTTCAGCTCTGTCTAAAACTGCTGGCTCAATGGATCAGAAGTGAGAGCATGCAACAATTCTTAATGGAAAAAGGAGTTGAAAACAAAAGCTTTCCTCTAGCTCTCAGTGATGCAGAGGTCCATTAGCCATATGTACTTTTCTGATTAACGGTGATCCCAGCCTGAATACAGAACTGCTGCTTACAGGAAAAGGTTGTGGAGAGAAAGCATGGGCCTGCATGAATTTTTAATTCTACAACTTTATAGAATCCGTGCTTTGCTGCTTTGCACACAGACTCCTTATTATGAGTCTATCAAGTTACAGACTCAGCAGGCATGTTAAACACTGCTGCCAGGGAGATGCTTGTTGAGGAGGTCAGAGTGGAAAAGGAAGGAAGGGGAAAAGTAGGGAAATAATCTTTAAAAAGGTTGTTTCTTTTCAGGGAGACTGAGCATATAGCACGTGTATGGGTGGCGGGTAATAGTGGGGCAATGGCGCAGTCAGTGTGTACGTGTCCTGAGACAGGAGCGCAGGAGTGTGTGTGCATGCACGTGTGCTCAGAGGTGTGCGGTGGGAAGTTGTGTCCACCTGTGTCTGTGCTGGGAGGCACAGCAGGATTAGGTATGTG